TAATTTTCCCAGCCCAGCGACCTGGCCTGCTCCATTTCTCTCCCATTCTCTCGCTCCCCGGCTCAGTCGTGAATCTGCTGGCCTCCAGGTCACATCTCTAAGGGCCTGTAGAGGCTTTATCGAGCTGGCGCTGGCTGTACCAAGCAGAATGGAAAGCTATGTGCAGCAGACCGCAGGCCTGCTCATGCTGGAGTTGGCCCTCGGGGGCACGGGAGTCAGGAGATCTGAGTTCAAACCCCTGCTCTGACTCTTGCTAGCTGTGGGTTCCTTCCATCCACAGAGGCTTTTCCTTCCCCCTTTCGCTCTGAGATTAACTTCCATTCCACTGTATAGATTCTGAATGCACACGGTCACTTACATGCTGTCTCTCTCATTAAAATGTGACTTTGTTCAAGGCAGGAGCCACGAGTGGGCCTTTCTTTGTATCTCCAGAGCTTAGAGAAGATAAACAATAATGCTTGTAGACTGACTAACTCCTGGGTGAAATGAGGGTTTCAGGCTAGATTTGGTATCAGGAAGACCTGGGTCAAATCCTGCCTCAGACGCTAACTAGTTGGAGGACCCGGGACAAATGACTTAACCACCTTGTGCCTCAGTTTCCCCATCTTCAAAATGAGGAAACCTTTCCAGTTCGACATCTTTGATTTTAAGGTCCTTTGGATCTCCTAGGGTAGGGCTTCCAGGGCAGCATGCCTGGGGATTGGCTACCACTCCATGGGGAGAGGGCCAGAGGTGTGGAGATGGAACCCTCTGATTGGCTGTGTCCTCACAGACCCTCAGTTTCCTTCTCTCTAAAATGGGAACAAATAGTACTTGTACCTACCTGCCCCCCACCCAGTGGTGGGGGGCAGGGGCACAGTATAGAAATGGGAACAATGACTTCTACTCCTTCTGTCCAGGAGAGTGTGGTGCCCAATAGGCACTGGTAGTGAGGACCCTACGACTATGTAGTTAAAGGACCTCTGTCCCCTGATTTGTCTGGCTCATAGTAGGCACTTAATGTTTCTTGACTTGACTGGAGAGAATGGGGCTGAGGAGGAGGCAGGCCTTCTAAGAACCAGCTGCCATCTTCCTGCTGTGGGAGACACAGGTTCCCTTCCCTGCCCCCAATCAGTGGGGGTCCAGGAGGGCCTGAGCCTCCCTCCCCTGTCATGGGGGAGGGGGAGAACTGGGCCAGGGAGGCAGCCTGCAGGCAGCAGCATGAGCAGAAAAACTCATCAATTTGATGGCTTCTCTGGGAGCTCAGCTGTGCTCTAGCTAGCCCATCACGGAGACCGATTGATGGACTTCATTTGTCTCTAGGGCAAGCTATGCCTACGGCTTCTGCTCTCCAGAAGGGGGGGGCTGGAGGAGGAGAGGGGGAGGAATGTCCAAGGTGGAGAGAGGCCCTGTGGGAAAAGAGAGGGACCATCGCTCACATCATTCACACACTCATAGATTCCTAAGTCTGAAAGCAACTGCAGCGGCCATCTAAGCCAACCCCTTTAATTTTACAGATGGGGAAACTGAGACCCAGAGATGGTGAAGCAACTCAAACGTGATCATGCAGCTAGAATCAGCTTTACGATTCAGACCCTCCCGGACACCCAGCTCAGGCACCGCCTCTGAATGAAATCTCCCTTCCTTGGTGCTTTGAACAAATGTGGATTTGACGTAATGTGCCCTGGCCCCAGCCCTGGTGGGCTCGGTGAGGCTTTGGTGTGGGTGGAGCACAGTAGAATCACAGCTGCTGATTCGTCCCCAGAAGTGAGTCTCTGGAGCAGCCGGTTCTGTTCTAGGTGCCATGTTGTAGGAGGAATGTTGATACCCCGGAGAGCCTCCAGAGGGTATAGAACTCATGATGAAGGAAGTGGGGCTTCTTACCTGGAGAGGACCAGAGAGCTGTCTGGTGTCTGAAGGGCTTCTCGTGTACAAAGAGTAGTCTTTTTCTGCTTGGCCCCTGACAGCCTTGGGTGCAGATTGTGAGAGCAGAGTTAACTCAGCGTAAAGAAGCACTTGCTGACAATTACTATTGCCCCAGAGTGGAGACCTGCCTTAATCAGGTGGAGTATCCTGTTCCTGGAAATTTCCAACCCAAAGCCAAATGGTGTCTTGTCAGGGTATTACTGCTGAAGTCAAGGGTTCCACCCTTGAGCAGAGGGGTAGCTGGGGGCCAGTACCAGTTCCACAGAAATCCTTTTTTAATTGGGTTTTCTTTGGTCATTCATTGGTAGAAAGGCTTAGAAGGTAATAGATTGAGAACTTTTGAGGTCCCTACCAACTCAGAAATGCTTTGATTCCATGGGGAGAGGAAGGGGTTTGGACTTGATCCAGGCTGGAGGTAGCAGGTGAATCAAGGTATTCCAGAAGGAAAACTGAAGCCAGGTGGAGCAGTGGATAGAGGGCTTGGAGGCAGGAAGACCTGAGTTCCAATCTGGTCTCAGGCACTTCCTAGCTGTGTGACCCTGGGCCAGTCACTTACCCTGTTTGCCTCAGTTCCTCATCTGTAAAATGGGCTGGAAAGGAAATGGCAAACCACTCTGGTATCTTTGCCAAGAAAACCCCAGTGCGGTCTTGCTGAGTCGCACATGATTGAAATGACTCAGCGACTACAAAAAAACGCAGCCTGACCGAGGGCTTGGTTTGGTACTGGCCATTTAAACCAGCTTAGGGCTTCCTGGGACAGGCTCCCCGGCTCTGCCTCAATGCTCTGGGGGTCCTGTGAAAACTGGGACTGTCGTCTGCTCAAGCCCTTCCCTCAGAATGAGTGAAAAACCACCTTCGTCCCCTTTGGGGTGGAATCCACCAGTCAGCACGTGTTTATTAAGGACTTGCTGTGTGACAGGCACTGTGCTAAGTAAGCCCCGGGCATACAGAGAAAGGCAAAAAGCAAGCTCTGCCCTCAAGGAGCTTACAGTCTAATGGGAGAAACGCCATGCAAGCAACTATAAATAACGAAATACATGTAGGATAAATTGGTGATAATCAATAGAGGAAGTGGCTTGAGGGAAGAAAGGGTAGGTGTGTGTGTGTGTAGGGGTGTCCTGAAAGATCACAGATAAACAGACCATTCAACTCCTGATTTAGAGAAGGAATGTGCTGTTTGACCTGGTATAATAATGGGCACCAAGGTTCAGGATAGGACTCAATCCAGATCAAGGAGACAGAACCTGGCCAATTCCTAAATATGCTCCCTCCTGGAACCTTTTCCTTCTCAGACTTCCTCAGCCTTTCTCATCTCTTAACCTCTTAAGACCCCTCTCAGAGCCCTCCCAACTCTTAAATCTCAGAGAACTTACTGCCTACACTTTGCTTTGGGCCCATAGCTTGAGCTATCTGGTATTAAAATTCTCTGTCTCTCTCTACTTGGCTCCCAAAAGATGAGAAAGATGCAGCCCTCTCCCTTCTTTACACAGGTGGTGGGCTATGGATGTAGAATGTGGCATTACTGTCAGAATTGATTAATGGAATGGTTTTGCTGAAATGCTTTCTCACCCTCCCTGTGTTTGTCACAATGAAAGATCTGCAGGGTAGGAGATGGAGAGAGACACATTCAGAAATAAAAATTTATAAATTTTTAAAAATCTAAACAAAAGATATAAATTTTAAAATTTAATAATTTATCTACATAGAAGCCTTATCTCCCCTGACATTCTGGAAGCTCCTTGAAAGAAAGGGTTGGGTCAAATTCTTTGACTTTCCTCAGTTCAAGGCCTCTTCTGATACCTCATGGGAGTATGGAGGTGAGCCTGTGTGTCTGAAGCTATACCAGCAGAATGTAAGCCATGTGTTCATTCTACCAAATACAAATGGTTTGGGGTACAAGGTCAGTGACATAACATCTCTCTGGTCCCAGAGAGAACCAGTCTAGGGGAGTCAGGAATGGCCTTTCATCAGGTTAGCCCCAAGGAAAAGCCATGTCTAGGAAACCACACAGCCCTAAAATATGGAAATTCCCCCGTCCCAAATGTAGCAGGTATTCAGTGAGGATGCTTAATGAATAGGGGAATGAACAGTAATGAGAAAAGAAAAGGGTAGGTAGGGTCCCTGCCCTCCAAGAGTCTACTGGGGAAGGTAAGGCTTAAAAATATGGGGTGACCAGGATGAATTGATGGTACACAGCCATGAATGAGGCTGGTAATGGGTCAATTAGAGGGGGGAAAAGGACCAGAGAGATAAGGGAGTGGTGGTAAGCCAAGAGAGGAAGATTATTGGAGGGATTTTGTGGTCATTTTTCAATGGAGAGATGATACAGAAGGATTGGAGAACCCTAGGGAAACACCTTCCCCTTCTTTGAGAAATTGGGTTGACTTATGGAGAGAACTGGGAGAAATAGAGAGTCAGAGTGAGAGAGGAACCCCCCCCCTTCCCCACAACAGTCAAAGATGGGACTTGAGTGTAGGCCTCTGCCAAAGAAGCCTGTCTATGGGACATTGGCTATAGCTCATTCTGGGGGTGTCCACACCTCTCTGGCACTAACCATTGCTCCACCAAGGGTCTCTGTCTTGTTTTCAGCCTTTTTTTCAGGAAACTTTTCACCTGTACAGTTGTAAACTGCCTGTTTGTATGTGGAGAGACACATTCATGCGTGTTGCCCAAGGTTACCTGGTCAAGGCTATGAGCCAGGGAGAAAGATGCAAACTTAGGCCCTCTGTGGCATGAGAGTCTCTGAGCCCACGGTCCATAATTTAAGTCACAATCTCTGTTCCTAAGCTCTTCCCCAGCAGTGATTCCTAAAAGCCCCCTGCTGGGGCTCTGGGCACTGAGAGGTCCCCAGGCCTTTACCCCAGCTCTTTGCCAGTGAGTTAATTCATCCCAGACCCCAGCCAGGCTGACTCCTGCCAGTATGGGAGGATGGATGGGAAAAGTTGTTGCCTAAGCTGAGATCTGATTCCCTTGCGCAGCTGAAGCACTCAGAGGGGTGAGAACAGGTGTCCCTCCTCACTGCCCCACTAGCAGACTTCAGGAAGCGGAACCCTCTCTTTCCCCTCAATGGTGGACTGCTCTCCTATGGGGTGGAGTTAGGGCCCCTCCTTCTGGGGCTGGGGCATCCCTGAGCATGTTTCCCTCCTGGGGTGGGGGGAGCCAGCCTGAGGGATGCTGCATGGACCCGACGGTGGGCCCTGGCCCCCTTGTGGGGATCAGATCCTTGGGCCTGGAGGCATTGGTGGTGGTGGCTGTGGCAGCAGGAAGGGCAGAGGTGGCAGAAACGCTTCAGAAAGTGCTTAGAGGCCAAGGCATAGACGAGGGGGTTGAGGCAGGAGTTGGCATAAGAGAGGCAGTGGGATGCCAGGCGACAGGTGTAGGTGGCCCAGTTGAAAGAGAAGTGGCCAAACCAGAAATACAGGATGACCACGTGGTGGGGCAGCCAGCAGAGGCCAAAGAGGGCGGCCACCGCCAACATGGCTCGGCCGGCCCGAGCTTTGGACTGGCAGCTTGCCTCCAAGGCTGGGCTCCTGGGGTCCACGGCCGCCCAGAGGAAGCAGGCTGGCTGACCACGGCCACGGGCAGCAGGTATCCCACAGCAAAGGTGACCAGGTCCAGGGCCCAGCAACTCTCGTCCTCCCAGCCCGGCACACACAGCACCAGCCGCCCGTACTGTACTGTCCAGTAATAGCTGAAGTAAAGTCCGGAAAAGAGGAGGGCCAGGAGCCAGATCAGGTCAATGGTAGCCCAGGCATTCTGGGCTGTTTGGAGGGACCGAGAGCGCAGAGGATGGTGGATAGCCAGGTACCTGGAGAGAAGAAGGCGGGCTTTCATGAATCCCCACTTTGTCTGTCTTCTCTCTGCCTCCCAAGGTGGAACACTGGACTGCAAAGGGAGGGAGGCCAGCCCCTGTCAGGCCTCCTTCACACCATCCCTGACGTATCAGGAGAGGCAACAGGATGGACCTGGCACTCAGAGAGCTTTGTTTGTGACCTTGGACAAGTCACTTCCACTTCATGCCTCAGTTTCTTTATCTTTTTTTTTTTTCTGGCAAGGTAATCAGGGTTAAGTGACTTGCCCAGGGTCACACAGCTAGCAAGTGCCATGTGTCTGAGACTGAATTTGAACTCAGGTCCTCCTGACTTCAGGGCTGGTGCTCTATTCACTGCCCCAGCTAGCTGCCCCATCTTTATCCTTAAAATATCCTGAAAATTCCCTGGTGTAAGGAATGCCATCATTTGGAGAATGACTAAATGCCATTGTGAGATGATGAACAGAATATCATTGTGCTATGAGATAGGACCTGGATGGAGAATTTAGAGAGAATGGGGAGATTTAGCAGGCTCCGTCAGCACCCCCATTGTGTTAGGTCAGACTGGAGACTCCTAGGGGGCAGGCGCTGGGCTGTTTTTCATCTCTGCATCCCCAATACTAAGATGAGGGCCCTGCATGGAGTTATGCACCCCATAAATGCCTGCTGGATTTGTCTCATTGAATCTGTGAAACAGCAGAAAAATCTAATGCCTGGGTTGTAGTGGGGACTCTGCTTTGTAGATCTCACTAGTAAAAATAACAGGATTCTAGATCGAGAGCCAGAAGGACCCTCAGAGGCCAGTGAGTCCACTCGTGCCCCCACCCCTATTTTGTTGTTCAGTGATCTCAGTCATGTCGGACTCCCTGTGACCCCATCTGGGGTCTTCTTGGCAAAGACACTGTGGGGTCTGCCATTTTATAGGTGAGGAAACTGAGGTAGGAAGGGTGGAGTGACTTCCCCAGGATCACACAGCTAGAAAGCGTCTGAGACTAGATCTGAACTCAGGTCTTCCTGATTCCAGGCCCAGCCCTCTATCCACTGCACCCCAAAACCAGATCCCCTCATTACATAGGGAATATAATATAATATAATATAAATAATATAATATAATATAATATAATATAATATAATATAATATAATATAATATAATGTAATGTAATGTAATGTAATATAATATAATATAATATAATATAATATAATATAATATAATATAATATAATATAATATAATATAATATAATATAATATAATATAATATAATATAATATAATATAATATAATATAATATAATATAATATAATATAATATAATATAATATAATATAATAGGTAATAAGCCCCAGAGGAAGGATTTCAGCCTAGGTCCTCTGATTCCAGAGTAAAGAGCCCACATTTATTTGGAGCATTAAGGGTTATCCAAATATTTCACAACAACCCTGGGAAGAAGGGGCTATTATTACACTCATGTTACAGATGGAGACACTGGTTAGAACTCATGTCTCCCAGACTCTCATCTGTCACATCATTCATTCATTCATTCATTCATTCATTCATTCATTCATTCCACCACCTAGACTCCCATCCATCACACCATTCATTCATTCATTTGGCCACCTAGACTCCTGTCCATCACATCATTCATTCATTCATTTGGCCACCTGGATTCCTGTCCATCACTTCATTCATTCACTCATTCATTCGGTCAGCTAGCTGACACTCCCCACTAATCTAAATTACTTGTGCATTGCCTTAAGGAGAGTGCTGGTTGTTAGTGTCACACCCCCTTATCTGCAGGGACCCTTCTCAGGTTCAGAATAACATGTGAACCTGAGCTCTGAGGTCTCCCCTTCGCCCCATCTGAGGCTCCATTTCTTCACCCTAATAAACTGTAAGTTCCCTGAAGGCAGCAGCTATGTACTTTTAAAAACGTTGCATCCCCAGTAACCAACAGTCCCTACACACATACCTAACAAATGAAATTCTGAGTCTAGAGTCAGGAAGACCTGGGTTCAAATCTGACCTCATTTACTAGCTGTGTGATCCTGGGCAAGTCATTTAACTTGTTTGCCTCAGTTTCCTCATATGTAAAATGGGGATAATAATAGCACCTACCTTATAGGGTTGTTGTGAGGGTCAAGTGAAATATTTGCCAGTACCTGGCACACAGTAGGTGCTTAATACATGCTTTCTACCTTCCCTTCTACTCCACTGCTTCTAGCAGGTCCCCAAAGGGCAGACATCTGAAGGAGATCCAGGTGCATTTCCAGCTCTAGCCCCCCACCCCTCAGAGTTGGCTGTTGGGCAGGGGAGGTCTGGCTCACTACCTGTCCATGGAGACAGCGGCCAATGTGAAACTACTGGTGTACACGGTGAGATAGATGAGGAGGTGCACGGCCTTGCAGACAAAGGTCCCAAAAGGCCAGCTGTCCAGGGTGTAGATGACAGCTTGGAAAGGCATGCAGCACATGAGGAAGCACAGGTCAGCCACGGCCAGGTTGAGGATGAACAGGTCAGTGGGGCTGTCCTTGGACTGCCCAGGTCTCAGCAGCCCGGCCAGCACCAGCCTGTTGCCAGCCATGCCCAGGAGGAAGATGAGGGCGAAGACCACGGGCACCACAATGCCCACGACCCCGTGGGTACTCAGGCCCTCTGAGGACACATTCCGTGGGTTGGGCATCTCCACATCAGTGGGGTGGGGAGGACGGAGGTCGCAGCCCCACTGCCCTCTGCCCAGGTCATGTTACCTCTGGAGGATCAGGTCCGACTCTGGGGGCGCCACTATACCTGAAATTGGCAGAGAGATCAGTGAGGGGTCTAGGGACCCTTAACAGGTATTATCTTGTTACCTGCAAACCCAAAGAAGGCAAACACCTTAGGAACGCTTCTCCTTACCTGAGGTTAGCAGTGATGAGTGGTGGTGGGAGCAGGGAGGACCGAGCACTGGGGTAGGGACAGTAAGGCTACCCCCTTCCTATTCTCCCACCACCAGGTTGGCCAGGCATGGAAAGAGGGAGATGGTCATTTGGCAGCTGTTTCCAAAGCACATCACCACCCCCAGGGTCCAAGCCTCCCTAGGCTTGCTCAGTTTCCCTCACCTTCCTGCCACAGTAGGGGTACCGAGCTCAACCTTAAATCTCTCTGGAGCTGTACCCACCTGATCTTTGAAGCGGAAAAAGGGAAGAGATAAGAACCCATTCCTGGATTTGGTCCAAACCCAAGGCAGAGGGAATATCCTGGCTCAGAATCACCTCACGCCTTTCCTTTGCCCTCTGCCCCTCCTTCTCTCTCCTTAACCTATCACCCTGTTAATGTCCTCCCTCCCTCTTCTCAAATTACTCCCCTCTTCCTACCTCCCTCTTTCCTTCCCTCTCCTATGCTCTTTCCCCCCACAGTGGGGCTGCGACCTCCCTCCTCCCCACCCCACTGATGTGGAGATGCCCCCCCTCCCCTTTCCTCTACTACCTTTCCCCTCCTTCTGCCTTCCTTGACCCTTCTCTCTTCCTCTTTTCTCTTTCCATTTCCCCTTCTGCCTGTTGCTTCTTTCAGAATGGACTCTTACTCTCTCCATCCAGGCAAGTCGTTCTTCTCCTTTCTCAATTTTCCCAAGGCATCTCCCTCAATCTCTCTCTCTGTCTCTCTGTCTCTGTCTCTGTCTCTCTCTCTCCTGCAGAGTAGCCCATTGATTCTTCTATGTCTGACAGTGGTTTGGGAGTTAACCCCTCAGTGTCTGCTCCTTGCCTGGTTTTCCCACTGTGTGCTCCCTTCCCCTTCCCCCCTCTCAGAGCCTAAAAAGATAAGGGAGGCTTGGCTCTAAGGCAGGTAATGGGAGAGGATAGGATGCCTGAGTTCACATTATGAATTTGGGTCGGGTGGTCATGGAATCACAGAATCTCAGGCTTGGAACCAACCTCTGAGTTCCACTCTGACCTGGGCAGGAATCCCCCATGGAGGATCGCTGACAAACAGCCTTCCAGGCTCTTGGTGACAGTCTCTCTGTTTGAGTTCACTTGTCCCTAAGGCAGCTCATTTCCCCTTTGGACAGATTTAGAAGGATCTTTGATCTCACTGATATAAACATCCTTGCCAAGGGCACAGATTGCTTGCCCCTCCTCTGGGACTCTTGTCCATTTCTTTCCATAAATCTACCCCAGACAGTCCATCTAATGTGCTCCATATTATGTGGATTCCAGTTGTCCACTGTTCTCTCTTTGTCCTAGTCCATGACTGGTCCATTCTATTTTCCATTTTCTTTCCCAAGTTGTCATAAAGAGGCAGTTCAGCATAGTGGACAAGAAAGGTGGCTTCAGAGGCACATAAATCTAGATTCAAGACTGGTCCTGAATTTGCAATACTGTCTGTGTGACCCTGATGCATCACTTGACCTCTCACTCTCCCAGGCAACTGTCTGGGACTGTAAGCTGTAGAAGAGAGGGCCTAGGCCTCCAAGCCCTAATGAAGTAAGTTTTCCACTAGTAACTCCCCAAATTAATGATATCGAAGGTCCAATTAAAGAAAGAAAGGAAAGCTTTCTCTAACCTTGAGGGAATGCTTTGGCACCCATGGTAAAGTGATCAGATTTGGACCAATCCTCTTGCCAGTTGCTGTCCCCTCTAAGAGTGCTAGTCATTGTCATTTGGAGAAGATAATATTGAGCTGCTCTTATGAGTGGGGGGAGGGAGCTCCATGACACAGTCAGACAACATCAGCTTTTAGTTCCATTTTCAGTGATCTGGGACCAGCACGGACAGTAACAAGATTGTAGCAACAGCCTAGAGCCAGGAAGTTTGGAAAACCTCGTTGGCCTGCGAGATGGAGAAGAGGGCAGTTTTCTCTCTTCCCCTTTCTATTCTCTCCTGATCCTATGTCCCCTGATTTCTCTTGATAAGGTCCAGCTGCAGCATCAGATCTGGAAATACACCCCTTTTCCCTTCCCTTTCTATGACCTTCAGGTCAGGGGGAGTTTCAAGTGATGATTGGATCTTCATCTATTTCCTTTCTACTTTCTCCCGTGTCTGGATCTTCATCTATTTCCTTTCTACTTTCTCCCGTGTCCAGTAAACTGTGCGGTCACAAGATATCATATGGGTTCTATGAATGAGCTAGGGGGTGAAAGAGAGGGGTTGTCCAAATTGAGGGAGGAAAAGCCAGTCATGGAATATAATAGATTTTCCTACTTTAAAAATAGGAAATCTTCCCTCGTTCTTGGCACCCTGGAGCTGGAGTCAGGAAGACCGGAGTTCAAATCTCACCTCAGACACTTACTAGCTGTGTTATGTAAACTCCCACAGTCTCAATTTCTTCTTTGTAAATTGGAAACCATTTGTAAAATGGTGATAATAATAGCACCTGCTTCACAGGATCAAATGCAATTGTATTTGTATGTGTATAAAGTGAATATATTCATATATGTATACATTGTGTATACACTAATATGTATCACGCATATCCATTATATAGGTCTATATTATTGTGCACATATGTATACATTGTATATACACACTCATATGTATTGTGCATGTGTGTATACATTGTGTATGTAGATATTATTGTGCATATGTGTATACATTGTATATGTAGATATTGTGCATATATATATGTTGTGTATACACAGTAATATCTATTGTGCATATGTGTATACATTATATATATTATTGTGAATAAATATATATATTCATATATAAGAGCTTTGCAAACCTTAAAGCATTAGTATTAACTTACAACAACAATTCAGGCGCCATCAGCACGTGGTTTAGAAGCAGACCCCGCGCCCCCTGGTGGCCTGTGGGAAGACTGCGGCTTTGTTTGTTTTTTATTTTTAAAGGAAGTCTGTTTCGCTTTAGGCACCATATCCGAGCTGACGGGACGATTCGGCCTGTGTTGTGGATATACCACCATCTGATGGACATTTGGGATATTGCACTCTCTTTGGATAAGTAATATGTTGAGTGACACACTGCATTTCTATAAATTCTGACACTAAAGAGATTATAATAATAGCTAACTTTTATTGAATGCTTGCTATGTGCATGGTACTGTGCTGAGCGCTTTACAATTATGATCCCATTTGATCCTCACCACTCTGGGAGGCAGGTGCTATCATTATCCCCATTTTACAGATGAAGAAACGGAGGCAGGCAGAGGTGAAGTAACTTGCCCAGAGTCATACTGCCCAGGGTAACTGGTCTGAAGCAAGATTTGAACTTGGGTTTCCCAGCCTTCAGGTCCCCTGTACCACCTCACTGTCTCATGAAAGTCTTTGGTAAAGGTAAAGTGTTCCAGGAAAATTTAAGAGAGAACACTTTTAGTTGTCTTGGGGAAGGCTTCTTTCTTGGAGGAGGGGAACGCTTGAGCTGTGCCTGGAAGGAAGGATTTGGGGATGGATCGTGTGGCTTTTCTGTGACCACGAAGGAAAAGATAGAATGTCCCCATCACCGTTGGGGTTCCAGAGCCCTTCTCCACTCAAGAACTCTGAGGAACAGCTGGACCAAGCTACAACTTTAGGGTGCTAACGACCCGGCATGTTTGTCCCTTCTGGCAGAGGGGCAACGGACTAGAGAACACAGCTCACATTTGCAGGAGCGGCCAATATGTGTTACTGACCCTGCTTGTCTGTCACAGGGGAGGGCTTTTGTTTTCTATTTCCTAGGGCAAGAGGTGGAGGAAATAGGGAAGGAGGTATAGCGGTAATAACAAAGAAGAAAAGAACGGCAGGGAATGATTTTTAAAAAATACACAGAAGACAGTTCAGAAAGGGACACAGACAAGCAGGGCAGACAAGTATGATCACTCCCATGTTAAATTTGAATTAATTAAAAAAACCCAATGAGATGTACATAGTGGGGGGGAATCTGTGCATAACACTCTATCTATATATATGTATGTATGCATGTATAATTTAACCCTAACCCCCTTTTTTCTATATATGATGAAATATTCTTGTTTGCTGATGTTTAAGTTTGTAATAAAAGTGAAAACTTTTTAAAAAGCACTACGGAATTTTTAAAAGACCCCAACTAGACAGAGGCCTGGGACCGGTGTCACAACCACTATATATAAAAGTGGGATTTGAACCCAGCTCCTGTGACTCAAGAGGTAATGCTTTTTCTGGCCATAGTATCTATCATATTGTCTTTTTCAGATAGAGGAAATCAGGGGAGGCTTCCTGAGAGAGGTGACATTTGAGTTTGAGGTTCAATAAAGGATGGGTAGCAAATGTGCCAAAGTATTTACAGCAGCTCTTTTTTGTGGTGGCAAAGAATTGGAAACTGAGAGGATGCCCATCCATTGGGGAATGGCTGAGCAAGTTTTAGTATATGATTGTGATGGAATACTATTTTTTTTTTTACTTTTTGATGAGGCGATTGGGATTAAGTGACTTGCCCAGGGTCACACAGCTAGTAAATGTTAAGTGTCTGAAGCTGGATTTGAACTCAGCTCCTCCTAACTCCAAGGCCAGAACTCTATTCACTGTGCCACCTAGCTGCCCCCATGGAATACTATTGTGCTGTAAGAAATGATGAAGAGAATGGCTTCAGAGAAATCTGGCAAGACTTGTACGCGCTGATGAAAAGTGAAGTGAGCAGAACCACAGCATTGTATACAGTAACAGCAACCTTGAAATAATGTTCAGTTGTGAATGACTTTGCTATTCCGATTAATACAATGGTCCAAAACAAT